CTTAAGAAATCAGATTTTTAATATCGATATTCATTGGAACAAAACGTTGACCGTGACCTCGCGTGCTCTTGTAACAATCGATGGGGTTTTTTTTTTTATTGTGAATTAATTTCTTTTTCACTATTAATGCATATTTTTTTTCGTTATAGTTCTTGGCCTATAAAATATGAACTATATTATTCGTTTAACGATTTTAGCCGTCTCGGTACGGTTCGTACAGCGTTTCAACACATCTGTATTGTTTGAACAATTATTATTATTAGTACTAAGTACCTATAGGTACACCGGGATTTTTTTTTTTAATACAGGAAGTGACAAATTATATTATCAATAGAAAAAAAAAATTTTTTTTACAACACTGTCCGCTCAATATTTTTTTTTAGTTCTTCATTGTAGTCGCGTTGGCCGGTCAACGCGACTAACAATAATTACAGATATCGGTGCGATTCGGAGAACGGATACTGTGTCGGAAGTGAAGTCGTTAAAACTGATACTAAACTGAACAAAAAAAAAAAAAAACTTTGATAAACGACATCGGAAGTGCAAAATTATCAGCTGCGCTTGTCGCGCCCTTGGACACGTTTAATTGCATTTGGCACTGACGTTTGCAACGGTCGTTTGGAGCTGTTTACAGTTTACAGCTAATGCAGTGTTCATAAACGCCTTCCGGTGGCATAATATCTCAATGACTGGTTTATTATAATACAATATAAAGGTATAGTGACCGTTTAGCCGTTTAAATAGGACAAAAAAAAAAACAAGGTTATTAGAATTTCGCGTTACAGTGGTTTTTTCCCCCGTGAAATACATAAAATTGTTCGTTTTAGATAAAAAAAAAAAAATGTTACAAATTTTTATACTTCAATACTCGAGTTAAACATATTGTTTTAAAAGGTAAATAAAAAAAGGGGCGACTTTTGAAAGCCTAGTAAAAGTGATTTTTATCACCTTGAAATAACATGTGCATTTTGTAAGTTAATGTGTAGGAAAACAAAATATACAGTTAGTACTCGTTTAGTTTTTTAATTTTTTTATTGGTTTTTTTTCATTTCTCGGAGTCAAGATATGACAAAAAATTTGACTCCGTCAAGCAAAAATATTTGTCTATTAAACAATTGGGTGTTACTCCACTTTTACAATAAACGACCCACTGGCTTAGCGCACACACTTGTTATTATAAGTAACATTGAAAGTGTTCAGGTGGAGAGCAAATTGGTTTTGTTTGCTTTTAATAAGATTGTGCCACAAAGTTTACATTGTAAACATCACAACCAGTATACATTTGAGATTTGAAGCTTTAAGTTTTATAAGAACAAATAAATGAAGAGCATTCAATTCATCGAAAAGTGGACTTTTAAACAAGTGTGCACTAAGAAGTGGGTACCTCGTCTAAACTCTAAACGGTTATAAGCCAAAAATGTATTTATCCAAAGCAATCATTTGTTTTTAATTAAAGCCAAATGCTTGAAAAATTTGTTTAAATTGTTTTAATTTGTTTTTCCTTAAATATAATATTAATGCACACATTTTATTCGAAACATTTTTTATCTTACATATTATTTTTTATACGTTATTTTATTATTCTATTTTTTTTTTTTTTAACGATTATTAAATTGAAATTCACCGAACTTCTCATATTGAACTAACGGGAGAGGTTATTCCAATGGGTAATAATACGTGTGATTTTTCAATTAACCGATGCGCAAAATAATAGGTATTATAACGTTATCAACGGATGTTGTTAATCGACTGTGGTAATTTCCTTGGAAAAAATTTCAGACATGATTGACGGGCCGGATTAAGCGATAAAAATTGTTAATTAATAGGCATATATTTTTTTAAGCCATTTAATTGATGTACGTCTAACGCGTTAAATTCACACGCGTTGGTCAGATGGCTTTACTTTTTTGTTGACATTTTTCTTTTTTTAAATAATCAATTGCACGTGGCAATTTTTTATGTTAATTTCAATATGTTTCAATTTCATTATGTTTTTTATTAAAATATAGAAAAGTATTATAACTACAATACGCGTTTGGGTTTTTTTGGGCAAAATTTAATTATACTTAAAAAAATATGTGCAAATATTTAGGAAATATTACAGTTTAGAAATTATGAGAAAACTTATTTATAACTAAAAATATCATGTCTACCTCTTTAGGGTCATTATTTTTTTTTTTTCTCCAAAACGACCTCTGACGTTTGTAAAAAAAAATGGAATCTTTAAAAATATACTCTAAGTCCGACCCACAAATTGATTTGATGACAAGTTGACATGATGGAAAATTATTCAAAAACAATTTAGTCAAATATTGCATAAATTATAGGTACCTATTGTTAAGTCTGTTATATTATATTATGTACATTTTTGTACACAGCAATAAAATGTTTTAATACAATTTCATTCGAATGATATTACAATAATACAGAATACACTTTTAATATTTTCTAAATACTATCAAAAAAATAATAAATTATACACAAGTCTTATACTATTCTCGACACAACAAACAATAACAGCTTTATTGATTATTATTATAGTTATAATATTTTCAACCGAACCAAACAAAAATAATTAGAAAGTATCTATATTGTGTTTTATGTTCAATTATTAGTACTTATTAGTTTGGCACAAGTTTTTATTAAATTTAATTAAATAGCATATTTATCGGTTTTTTTTATTGTCGAGCTGTGTATTATTAAAGAAAACCTATAAAAAAAAATATCATTGTATTGGTACTTATTTCATAAACCGTTTCATAAATAGTTTTTATTATGTTGCACACAAGATTTTAATTCTAGTACATTTTTGCTATGCGATGGTAAACAGTAGAGTAGTATACAACGACAAAAATTGTATAAATTATCATTCTGGTTGTTATGATAAAACAAAAGGAAAATGACTAAATTATTATCATTTTTATTTATGTTATAAATAATTTTCCTGGTCCCTTACACGAGTATTTTCTGTTCGACCCAGTTTTTTTTTTAAGAGGAAAACTTAAACTAATAAAATATCATCTGCTCAAGGTCGGGTCAATTAACGGTGTGTATGAAGGTTTTCAAGTTTAATCAATTGTTACAAAATTCGTCACGAGTTGCGATTAATAAAATAATATCATTTAAGTTAATTGAAATAAAAAGTATTTTTTTATACATACAATAATATATATTTTATTATTTTAAAACTGTTTCGCTTTAAAAAATAAAACTTTTTTTTGTTTGATTAAATCTACGTGTATTTTAATATATTTAATATTATTATGCTCTCAGTAGGAGAGAAGTTTGGCAAGTGTTGGTTTATTAAATTTACCTTGCAAATAAGGTTTGTGGTTGATTATTGTGCTACTCAAGTAAGCAAAAACTTACAAAACTTTTTCGTAGGCATGCAAGTTCTCAGATTAAACTCTAAATTTTGTTGAAAACTTTTGCAATTAGAACTTTTTTATAAAAGTTATTAAACGGCTATTGAAATGTTATTTTTAGATAAAGTTCCAGCAAACAGTTTCGACTATTCCGATTTATAATACTTGGGAAATGTTTTTTGAAACATAATGATTTGTTTGGTGTGGTGCTGTTAGTATTTTATTTTTGTGTTCGGATCAACAGCTAGTCCCTGTAATTCGCCATGGGAGGCGGTAACGACTATGACAAAATATATGTTATATTATAATATAAAGAAGTGGTGTTTTATTATGCATTCCGTGAATCTGTCGTTTTCCAAAAGGATACAGTCGGTTTCCGGTCGTTGAACGTTTATAATTCGACTTGATTTCCGCATATATTATTATTATTATTACCATCATACTTGCCTAGAATCCACGGGAAACCGTATAATAAAATACGGATTATTACCGTGATGTGCGGTGGGCACAAGATTAATGGACGGGGCCGTGTCGTATGCTAATTTATATTATAATATACCAAAAGCAGATCGGACCGTAACCATGGTTACGGTAAATAATGGTAATAATAACAACAACAACAACAGTGACAGCGGCGCTACCGCCGGTCTCGTGTGCGATTCCACATAAATATCGCCCCCATCTACCGCATATTATATACCTATATATATATTATACACAAAGTAATCCTGTAATGTCTTCTCAACCGCCATAACGGTTAAATGGCTATCAAATTGCGCCACGAGGAAGACAATAACAATTATTATTATTATTATTATTAATGTTACACACGATCCACCCTCGAGAGACATTAATTGTCACACCGTCGTCCGCGAGGAGTTCCAAAAAGTTTAGTGTAAACCCACCAAAATGCATGATCAAAACAGTTCTTGATCCGGTTAAATAGATTACACCGGTCCTCGAGCCCTTCGTGTCGAACCCACTACTAATTGCTCGAATTGCGGTCTTAAATTAAATCCAAGCAAGACCTGGCCAAGCCGAGAGATTAACCTAAACGCTAGAGTTATTAATTCACAATGGTCTCACCAGTATCCGACACGAATCTCCACCAGACACTCGGAAGGGTAGAATAGATGATAAATCTTTGGATTTATCATGATCCACGTTGGATCATAAAATATAATATGTCTTATAATCGGCTAAATTTCTGACAGCTAATTTTGTTTGAATGGGATGCTGATTCTGTCCTATCACTATCCCATTCCTTCTAACGAGTCGGTTTACGAAGTCATCCTCAGGCAACAAGAATTTTCAAATTTCAGTAGAGTTCAGCAGAGCAATACAGAACACGTTGAAAATACCACATCTAGTCGTGACAAAGAAAATGTGATCCCAGTACTTAATTACCTTTGCTATTATTATTATTCTGTAATTAGTCACGACTACCCGACGGCGTGCTCTTCTGGTACAGTTACTTTAGATTTCCAAGACCACGTTATGACCACGATTACTCTTGTTGTATTCGTATGTCATATACCCGCGGGATAACTTCCCGTTAGCTTTCCGACTTCCCGGAAGTCACTAATCTCAGCCACGATGCCAACTAATACATTGAACCGTGTTGTTGTTTTTCAGTATGCAAACGTGGAATTCGCATTGATGGCACCCGCCGGGTACGATGATCGCTTTGCCCATATCCATTCAGATGCGCATCCTGTGGACGCTGGCCATGGGCACGGTGTTCGTGCTTTTGGTCCAGTACCAGTCGTCCAACGTGTGGCCGCAACAGCAGAGCCAGCTGAGCAACCGGCTGGACCCGGTCGCCGAGGACCTGGTCTCCTTGGCCCTGTCCAAGGTGGTCATTGACGACGACATGACGCTGTCCAAGGAAGTGTTGTTGGGAATCACCAGACAGATTGCCAGGTACGTGGTGTACAGTTCCGGGTGCAACGTGTCGCCGGTAAACGGCAGCCCGTCGCCCAGCACCATATACATCATCACCCCGACGTACAGGCGACCCGAACAGATAGCAGACCTCACTAGGATGGCGCAGACGCTCATGCTGGTCCGGGACATCCATTGGCTGGTCGTCGAGGACTCGGAGGCCAAGTCGCAGTTGCTCTCCTCGTTGCTCCATTCTTTCGGCATCAGATTCACTCATCTCACAGGTTAGTCATATTTCAATTTCCAGTAAAAACCATAAACGTTAAGGGAGCAGAGACGTCTTGGCAGAGTTTTTCAAGGATTTGGTCCGACGGATCGAATCTTTAAGTCGGTTGTGACCGAAACAAAAATCTCTCAACTGTCAAAAACTGAATCTTTCAATAGACTGTCTAGCCTGCTAATGAATTACTTTATTAGCTATGTGCTAAACCTATGAGAAAATTGTGGAATATGGTCCCAACTCCGCCTAACCTAATCTTCTTCTTATTCCATACAAATGGGGTCAGCCGGCTATATTTACTGACCTAAACTTTTTGCCCCTCTCGCATGTCCCATGATCCCAAACCGGGAAGAGCGGTTAATCCAAATTGACCATCCTATTGGACAAAGTAGTAGGTTTTAAATAAACCGGTTGAGTTATTAAAGCAAACGAAAAATAACGTGGAGGTGTAACCTGCTCCGCTTGTGTGGGATTAAGGAAAAAATAATATTACTGGACACAAGTACTATTTATTTGTGTTCTTAAAATGTATACAACAACAAACAAAACACCTTACAAACGTAATAATATAATCATTGTCTTCTATTCTTAGAAGGAAACTATTGCTTACAGTTAAATGTTAACACTGATGATTAGCTGTATTATTCGAAACCAACAAGTGAAACCATAACAATTTTAACAAGTACAAAGATACATATTTAATAACACATTGCAATTTTAACCTTGTTTGATTGTTGTTAAATTGTTTTTGCGGATATATTGTAGCATCATCTAATCCAAACAAATGCTTTTTTGGCAATGCAATAATATTGTGGTAAATTTTTTTTATAAACGCGGAAGTAAAATAACAATTATTCAGTTTTCACAATAACAGTATTCAAAAGTAGTAATTCCCGCAGAAAACAACAACAATAACATTATTACAGCAGAGGGAAATAATTGACTTTACAATGCAATGATGCTATTTGTGAAATTTTTGTTGTTGAATATATATTATATTTTTTCCTAATAATTAGTTGTCTAATAACTAGTTGTCTCTTGTACTTTTAAAAATCCGTTTTACAACAGCTATAGCCACCAACTACTAACCATCAAAACCACTAAATTATTAGTATCAAAAATACCAAAACAACAAAAAACATAAAAAAATAGAGGTTCTCTCCCCCTTTTCCAATCTATAAACCGATTGTATTTAAATTTACTCACTAAAATCTAAAGTTATGGTATCAATGCTCTAAAGTACATCACAATCTAAGCTAAACAATTATATTTACAGGTATATATTTTATTTATTCCCTGCTCCTTCTTTTGGCGGGGTTAATTGTTGGGGGTATTTTTTCTTAAAACTATATGTTTAGGTACAGTCAATAAAGAGGTGTGTTAAAAAGTAGGTTGTTCAAATTTGTTTGTATCAGACGCACACGCCGATTTCAAACGTTCTGCTTAGGTAGGTAAACAAGAAAATAGCAACAACAACTTCTCGTCTCCATTTCATCATATTAAAATCGAAATGTGAAAAATTGTTTACCACGCATGCCGTACTGAAATATATGCTTTAATAATAATAATAAAAGTGTAACAGACATTTCAAAGAAAAGTTTGTTACTAGAGTTTATAATATACGAACGTAACCTTTACAACAAAATCGTTCAGCCAGAAGAAGTTTTTTTTCTAAAAGACATTTTTTCAATCATTATGAAATTCTTTTCGCTGTTGATTTTATTGAGGATTGGTTGGTGTGATTTTACGTTCGCCGAACGTGGAACGAGAGAGGTTTGTGATCTTATAAACAACAAATATTGGATGAAGTACCTCCAAGAGCAAGTGAATGGCGAAAACTTATCCATGAGCATTATGCCGAGCAAAGTAGGTTGCCTAGATACATCTAAGCTCGATAATGCTAAATTGAGTGATGCGCTGAGATGTGTAGCAAACATTCTCAATTGCCAGTTCGTCGGTCATTTACTGGAGTTTATGGTTATGTTAGATACATTGGCAGTGGACGTGTACGATCGACTAAAGAATGATCAGAACGACAATGGGTTCGTTCAACAGAGTAGTGATTTTTGGCGAACATGGCGATTCGAAGCTTTACCATTGTTACTCAAGATGAGGCCAATTATAGCAATGTGGACCGGTACGTTTCGTAGACTACACCAACTGCTCGAAGCGAGATTAAAAGTATATCGAGACTTCGAGAACTTATGGACCGCCGTTGAATCATTTAACTTGTATTTGAACGGCAAAGCGCTGCAGCCCACGAAACCACCAGCTACCGATCACGAGGCCTACACGAGGGTCTCACTTGTCCACGCTACTTTACAACACACGTTGTACACGTACTACAAGAATAGTAAGTGTCAACAAGCAGAATGGATGAAATCAATGTGGCCGCCCGAGGATGGCCAGGGACCAGAATCGGCGAGAACGGCTATTAGGCGAAGGACGAAGTCGGTAATTACCACGCTTAAGGATATTGTCTTGAAAATAAATCTAGCTCAGCACGACAGGGATCATCCCGAACAGGCATACCAACCGCAAGCTATCTTTGTCGAATTGAACATACAACCATTTGGCTTTGTCAAGCCCGGCACGATTGTCAAGTGGTTGTGGAACGGAGTCAAAACGGACGTGTTCCAAGTATACAATGAGATTCAGAAAGAATACCGTGACGATACTGCCCGAATGTACTACGCGTTGAGCGTTAGAACCGTCGTAGTTACGTTTTTTTCTTATTTGTCTCAGTTCTTGCAGATTTATGTACAATACGTTATGGTTAACGAGAACGAACGTTTCGCAAAGAAAATCAAAAAGGAATTCGCTCCTTTGTTGGGTGTCCGATTGATGATCGCCAAAATGACATATTTCTTGAGGAACAGTGCTCTGAATAACATTTACATCATACACGAACGCATTGAAGAACCCCCGAAAAACGCCGGAACCTTATCGGTACATGATTTACAATGTATGGTGAACATATACTTGGCCACGTTAACGAATATTTTGGAAGTGGAAATTCACCCAATACCGGTCAACAAAAAGAACGTGGGTTTGGTGTTGGACGAGTTGCTGGACGTCATGGCATATAGTGTAACTATTGTTGAGGAAGAAGAGATCAAAGAACCCTACGGAATGTTTGCAGTTTTCGATGGATTACATTTTAGTGTCAGTCGAAATACTGCGAAATTTATATTCTCCACTATGGTGTTGTATTTGGCGGTCAGAATAGTTATCATGGCCCTTTAAAAGAATATTGTATAAACACACACAAATTTACGTTTCATATTTTTTTGTAAAAATACTAATTTGTTAAAATCTGTACGACTTACATAAAATAATTGTTAACGTTTATTTACTAATAAATATTTCTAACAACACTGTACATAAACAAATGATTATTTTTTTCATACTCGATTAAATGTACTCCAAGAGCCACTGTACATTTTAAGGTGCTTTTTTAATTAGCGCGTTACTAAATTTAGCACTATTGAACTTAGATGTAGCTTAGTTGTAATAATATTTAATGCTTTTAAAATGTTTAGGTGGTTCAAATAAGGATTTTTGTAAAAATCCTTTTTTTTATAAGTCCCATCATTAGATAGAATGTTTTAAAAATTGAATGTAGCAGTCGTTGGATGCTCTAGTTTTTTATGTTTTGTTAACAATTTTATTATGGTTTTAACTCCATTAGATAGTAATTAACAAATGGAAACAGAACCAGCACAGATATTAGTGGCAAAGTTGGGACGAATTGCAATATGGAGACTGAGATATCAAGGGTCTTTAAGAATAATCATTATACCTGAATGTGATAAAATAACTTTCAAATAAAAACTTCGATTCGAATCTGAGGATAGTGCGTTCAAACCAGCACAGTCCAATCCAAGCACATGAAGTTAGTATTCAAGTAAGGTGCAGAGTCCGCAGGCTCTAGAAACGTTTATTTGAAAGTGATTTTATCACTTTCAGTTATGCTAGTTCTTGAAGACCTGTGACCTCTCCTCCCCTCTATCCCTCGACCCATCTGTACTGACATGTTTATATTTTAGATGCGAATGATGAAAACACATCTTGTTAATTTTTTAATTAGCTTATTTTTTAGTTTAGGTGTCTTTAGCTTTAGGAGTTTTAGCGTCATAGGTCGGAAAGTTAGACCGAATGTAATTCTAGAATGGAACTAGAATGATTATTCTTAACGACCCTTGCTCCGCTGTCTCCATGATCCGTTTCTACTGTGCACCTGCTCACTGTAATGGCTCTGTTTTAGCCTTTTGTCAATTACTAATTAAGGCAGTTAAAACCATTGTGGTGTAAGTGACAATTTCGTAAAAGTGGAGTTAGGTATTGTAGGGATATCTTAAAAAAAAAATTTAGAGAATGGCAAAGTAGAGTAATTTGAGACTCATAATCTTTACCACCATGATCTTTAGCACCCTGCAAGCTTATATTACAAACAAGCGCAATCACATTTTGTGTTTTTTCTTCGAATAAGCTTATAGCATAGTTTAGATGGTGTATGCCTTTTAAAGAAAAATATACAACTGTATTTGGTTGGTTATTATTTTTTTTTTTTTCGTGGTATCTGTTCCAAAATTTTTTTACGATTTCCGAAGAGCTTGTTATTGTAATAGGGTCTCAGCAGATGTGTTTTAAGTATTTATTTTCCGACTTTAGTCCTGTACTACGCATAAAAAGGCAAAATAATGAATTATAGGAATTCTAGTACTACACTCATTTTCAAGCTGAACACCTGACTTCTTATATTTGTACAACACAACATTATGTTTAGCTACATGCCGTTGATTTTTTGTTACTGCTTTACCAGATTAAATATGTTTTAATAATGAAATATATATATATATTTATCACAGTTACTAAGCCCAGAGTTTGGTTATTATTTATTATAGCCAGCACACGTGTGAAAATGTGATAATATTGTAAGAGAGATCAAAAAATTAATTATTTCATTAATTTTTTAATGAAAAGATTCACTTAGATTTACTA